CCGGAAGCTGACCGCTGAGTAGAGGATAATGAGTGCATCATAGGGCAACGTAGGACAGCATATAACTCCGCCGGAGCTCTGTCGGAGGACGAAGCGGTGTAGAGTGCGCTGAGGGCAGCATGGTAGTTCGCTGAGGAGAGGACGCTGCTGTTGCTGCGGCGACGACAGTAAATCAGCAACGTCCTGGTGCAGATCGATGGCGAGAACCAGCAGGGAAACAGGGAAAGTTTGATTGCGGTGGCTTGAAGTCCACCGGTAGTGATTTGATTGGCGACGAAGAGAGTGATAGCAAATGAGATTTTCGTTTAAGGAAATCTCTCTACTCTGTCAAGGAAATCCTCTAATCTATTAAGGGAAATCTTCTCTCCTAACATATATAAATAGGAAAGGGACATGTTAATGCAAATTAGCTTCTTTTGTAATTTCTTTCTCTATCCCTTTTCTAACATAGTATCAGAGCCATAGTCCCCGTAATCTGAGGGCTCCATCTCACCTCAATACTGCCAAGTTGTTGGTTCTTTACAATACTTAGCTCTCATCCGTCCAGACATCTCCTCAACAAATTATCACATGTAGCAGTCGTCTACTATGCACTAGTCTACGATCAAGAGAATTCTGCGATATCTTAAAGGGACTCTCAATCATGGTCTTTTTCTTTGTAAACACTCTCAACTTCATCTTCATGCCTTTGCCGATGCTGATTGGGCAGGCAACCTTGATGATAGAACATCCACATCGGGGTATATTATTTTTCTTAGTGCTAATCCAATCAGTTGGAATTCTAAGAAGCAAAAGACAATCACACGGTCTACAACTGAAATTGAATACCGTATCATTGCCATTGCCACTGTCAAACTCAATTGGATCATAAATCTGCGAACTCAACATCAATTCCACTCATACAATATTTTATGATAATGTCGAAGCTACCTATCTGTACGTTAATCTGGTATTTCACTCCCACATGAAACATATTATCATCGACTTCCACTTTGTGCGCGATCAAATTGTCCATCGTCAACTTCGTGTTTCTCATATCCATACGACTGATCAATTAGTCGACTCGCTAAGATTGGTCTATTTGATAGGAGCATCATCCTGTGGGGGATCTCTATTCTGTTGAGAAAAATCCTCCTCCTAATCTGTATAAATAGTAGAGGAAATCTTTCTATTCTCCTCCTAATATGTATAAATAGAAGAGGGATATGTTAATGCAAATCAGGTTCTTCTGTAATTAATTTCTCTATCCTTTTCTAACATATAGCAGCGTAGAGGGTTGCCATCGGTGAAACTTTATATATATATATATATATATATATATATATATATATATATATATATATATATATATATATATATATATTCTTTTGACGTCAAATTAGTACTTCTATCCTGATGAATTCTTTGTTGTGAAATCAGTTAGGATACTTCTGTGTTGCTTAATAATCTCCATCTTCATCGATTATTTTTTGATAGAAGATTATAAAAGCACGAATAATATTTCTGTTTTCTTTGGTCCTGATGAATTATATCTTATCTAGACTTGGGCTCCGGATTGCTTCGAATCCGAACCAAGTTGATCCAGAATTAGAATTGAATCAGATTAATGGTTGTATCGTTTTGAATTGAACCGAAATCGATCCAAATCGATTTTGGTTCTGATTCCAATTTATTGAAACCAGAAATCGATTTCAGCTTCAGTTCAAAACCATCTTATTTTTTTATATAAAAAAACCAATCTTATCAATGATCAAAATCAATTATTGATTTACCGTTTGGGTTGACTCTTAGATTGTCTCAACACCAAATAGCATACCAATTGTTGAATGGTTAAATGACCATTTTACCCATTCAAGGTCATTTTAGTTATTTCATAATTATCCTAAGCTTTTTTTTTTTATTTCAATCTCAGCATCTTTTCAATGTTTGAGTCTTCTACTTTCACTTATTTCTTACTATACATAATACAATGTAGTAGGATTGCAGCGGAGTAACGTATATCGTCTCGAACCAATTCGGAACCACCATCTTGCAGAGCAACGCAACACGGGAATGAGCTACAACTGCTCGATGACAAAAGGCATGCTATTTGCACATACATTTCAAGCTAACTCTTGAATCTTGCTCTCTTTTGTTTTGGGCTTCTTTATATCGATTTGGTTATGTAATATTTTTCATGTATGATGCTATCTCATCCATATATACCTATTACTGATGTTGCTACCAATTCATGCATACTTAGTTATATATACGTTCTTTATATTAGAAAATTTCTCATATTGGTGATAGTCATCAAGAAATTATGGAGAAGAGTTACAGAGGAGAATAGAGAAGCTCAAAACTGAAAACTATTATTAATAAAGATGACTCATAATCTATCATACCTCATATCTCTAATCCTCTTTTGGCTGAATAAACTAATTGACTCATAATCTATCATACCTCATATCTCATATCTCTAATCCTCTTTAGGCTGCTTTCCTACTTGATCTCTCGTCTTATATATTTGAGATGTTGATCAATCTTGAAAAGAAAGATAATCTCTAACTTTAAAAGTAAGTCCAACCATATAGTATATCTTTGATCCCTTTAATGTTTATAGATCCTAATTGAAGGTGTGATATATAGACTATATTTTGTGTGGAGTCTCTTGTAGCATCGGTTGAAATTTAACAACGGTGCTGGGTATTGACTTTGGAGGAAGCACTGATGTGCAATCAAATGAATGGGTGTTTATTGGGCTAGGGGTAACAGGTGGTGAAAAGTTCATTCATTCGAATGTAAAGGATTAAAAAATGGTTAATGGGTTATTTCTAATCAATCCCACATTTGGATATAGAAGAATTGGGTCTTTTTGATTCACTTTGAGATTTCTTAAAATATTTTGGTTATGATATATTTTAGTTCAAAGCCAACGAGAATTGCTTCCAAGCTCATCTTATGTTGAAGTGTTAGGAGACAAAGGGGTTTGGTTCGAGACTATAATATGTTAGTAACATCTGAAAAGATATCTTTGATGCTCAAGTTCATAAAGACTAAGGGAATTCAATAAAATATCAAAAATATGTTCATCACTAAGAATACACTTTGACTTTTTATAGTATTATAGGTGATGAATAGATTGAGCTTATGATAAATATTAAAAATAATTATAAGCTTCATTTGATCATCAATAAAATGTTAAATTATATGTCAAACATGATGGATATAAAAAATAATTTATTAAAAAAATTCGTTGTATATATATATATATATATATATATATATATATATATATATATATATATAAAGGTCTAGAAAGGATCACAAACACACGAAACGTCACCACCTGACACTCTGGTGGAAGAATCACAGTGCAGTAGAAAATAATTGCATTTGTAGAGGGAGCTCGGCGGCATTAATAGAAACATTGTCTTCCTCGCAAGACGAGGCATTTAAAAAGCTCGCTGTAACTTCACAGGACAATTGATGCTTGGGTCTCCCATGGCGAGACATGCGAATCTCTTTTTTAATTGCTTCATCTACCACATTAAATATACCTAGGACGACTGCACTTATGAAAGAGCACATCCCTCTCTTCTTGTCCCTCGTCTTTGCCCGTACACATGCGAAGAGAGATCAGTGATGCGATGGATTCACTTCCATCCAGTCAAATCCGGCCGGGCATTGAGTGCTTTGTTACTACACTTTTATTATCTTAGGCAGCTCAAAAAATCCGGCAGAATCTCTCTCTCACAATATTTATACAATTAAGGACACCGGAATTTTGTGCACGATAAAAAACCTCTAGAAAAATTAGAGTATAATAAATATTAATTCAAGAGGCAGCTCAAAATTTAAATGGAATGTCTTGCACATCCTACAAGTACGAAGCCTAACCAAACCACATCTTTTTTCCCACTGCTTGGTGGCACGAATAGATACACCGCCACTACTTTCCAAAAAAACAAGAGCAAAGGAAAGAAGTAGAGACCCAAAAAAATATATATCTTAATTATAAGGGAGGGATGGCGCAAAAAAAAAGAAAAAAAAAAAGAGAGAAGCTATACTATAATGAATATTGCTGCTAAGCCCACTTAGCCAGTAGAGACATCAGACCTGCTCCAACAAGCAGAGATACATTTATCATAAACTGCAATCTCGCTTTACTCTGCACCCGCGGGTTCATAAAATCTGCGGCAAGCAGATCCACCAGTGCCATGTAGATCAAGATGCCAGACGCGACAGAGTTGAGACATCCTTCCACGATCAGAGCGGTGGGGCTGTTCTCGTCGTAGACGGATGCTATCCCAATGCCTATCGCGATCCCAACCGGTGTTGTGAGAGAGAAGAAGAGCCCCATGGTCACTATCGACTTTGCCTTGAACTTTGCCTGCAACAAGTAATAATAGCAGGTCGTTAATGGAATTAAGCCAGATTTTAGTCAGCCACTCGGTTCTAACTAAGCAGCAAACGGAGAGCCGCAAAGCATGACAATCTAATACTCGTAAAGCCCCCCACTCGTATTCAATAGGGACCACAGTATTTATCCCTATCTGTAGGCGACGTTATCCACCCATTTTTATGTGAACACACTGCTTTCCTGCAAGGCTAGGAAGTGATGCGAGGCTATGACTCGGTGAAAAGGTGCGCTGGTCGTAGTTTGCGGCTACGCATACCAAAAATAAGCTACAGCTTGTATGTCCTGCGTGAATCTAATTCCTGTTCAACTTAAACTTCATTAATCTGGCTCAAATTCTCGGCAGTCAGTTTATAAGGATCTCTGTGCTTAATATAAACAAACGAAATATGATATTAAAGTATAAAAACTCATCGACACCAATTATGTACCTCTTAATCTACTAATATAAACTGTATTCAACCAAGTATTATTATACCTGAACGATACACCCTCCCAGGCCCATGCCCTCGAAGAACTGATGAAAGCTGAGAGCAGCTACCAGAGGTCTTATGGTGGATGGTACCTCTGATGCACCCAACGAGATCCCGATGATCACCGAATGAACGATGATCCCGAGCTCCAAAACCTGAGACCATCAAAATTCTCAGCACTTTTACTATGATTCTTATTCGAAAAAAAGAAAAAAGTCTCGAGTTTTCCGTGAATTTAATATGCTGAGAAAAAAGCACCAATTTTTTTTGTTTTGTTTTACCTGAGAGATAACTCGGTTCCGGATGAGTTGAGCAGAAGCGTCCGCCGAGTCCATCATCGTGGAGCCATGCGCGTGGCCATGGGTTGCATGAGTGTGCACGTGATCCAAGCCATCGGATGTCTTCTCCACATCCGCGTTTGTCTCGTCGCTCACCGTCGTCCGCATCTTATTGCCGTGGAGGCGATTAAAGTATCCGGTGGCAATCGTATCGATCATCAGCGTTCCGACAGCGGCGACCATCGCGCCAAACCCGGCGAAGGGGAAGTCCTGCCAAGGGCTCGATGGAAGACAGGGTGACGTGAGGTTTTCGAATGCATCGGGTAGGATATGGATAAATCCGGTGGCGAGAATGACTCCGGCAGCGAAGGCCTTGATCACGAAGAAGATGTCCTTGTCGGGACGGAGCGCAGGTATCCATTTGCCCAGGATGGGAATGCATACGCCAAAACCTCCGCAGACCAGGATAGAAAATATTGCCGCGATCTTGAGCGGCAGCGCCTTCTTCTTATCGCGGCTTTCCTCGTCAGCCGAGCAGTCACAGTCGCCGCGAGCAACGAGAGGAAGCAGCAAAACAATGAGAAAGACGAAGCACCAAACGCCTCTCATCTTCTATCCGGGTTGTGAGCGTGAAGAGGTTCGTAGAATAACATGTATATATAGAGAAAGGAGCGAATCTCTCACAGTTGACGAAAATACGCTCTCTTTTATTTTGAGGTTGGGATGAGCACAATAAGTAATATGGAAGTATGAAAGAGAGAACAAGATTGGTTGGTTGTTGGTGAGGAGGCGATGAGCACACAAAAAAGCCATGGGCTTGGTTGTTACAACAGAATTAAATTATCATTATTATTATTATTATTATATGACCGGGTTTGGATGTGTTGTATTTACGGCTTGGATTTATCCAATCAAATCAATTAATGGAGCTCTCCAATCAGGGAGTGTTTCGAGTCAACCGAGTGTCGACATAATGTTGTCATTCCGATTTGGAAGCGTCAGTTTTCTTCCCCGGAGAACAACGCAACTGTGGATCGTCGCAATTATAGGCGAGTGGGGTTACCATAACACGTGGACGATACGACCGTCCCTCACATCCATGATGTGACGACACGCGTCCGTGGCCACTTGCCTCCTAAGATTTCCAGAGCATGCGGCTTTCCAAGTCCCTGTGTGAACCGAAAGCACGTCTGCTTGGGTGGAGAATCTTTTCCGAACGGGTGGCTGCCATCGGAGAGTGGACTCCAAGTCTTCTACGATAAGAACGTAGATTTCCCAAAGGCATCACGCGCTCCATGATGGGGCCCTTGGAATACTCGGTGCTGCAATCCCTTTGGAGAGGCGGAACCGCGAAGGGGCAGTGAGAACAGGCGATAACTGGTCCCGCACATTGCACCAAGGATCAGTTGACTGCGAAAGTCGACAACTCTTAGTCAACTCGGGTACGTAGTTTTGGTACCATGTATAAGATCTTTCTTGTCGACTAGTATATGATGTATACCAGGCTATCATAGAAATTAAGATCGCTGAGAGTCAAGAATGGAGAACCAAAGAACGGAAAGCAAGCCAAGCTGGTGATAGGAGACAAACTTTGCAGAAGAACAAAATCAAAAGACTCAGTCAAACGAAGCAAAAGGCAAAAGACTTTATGAAGCCATGGCAGATTTAGTTTTGTGTTTCTGAAGAAAGGATCAGGATATAGTCAGTAAGCCCAAAACCGCTCTGCTTGCCCATTTGGGCGTCCGTAAGGTTGGATGGAGGCTTTAGGGGACCAACAACAATCAGAGTCGAGGCTTGATTATTTCTTTATAGACATATTATGTAACTTGATTATTTCTTTCATATCATTTTGCATTAAGATTATGCAAGTCTAAATAAAAAAATAAAAAAAAATACATCTCAACAGGTAATGTTGAGTAGGATAACTCCTAAACATGAAAATGATATCAATAATACGGGCAAGCAGATATCAAAAGAATAAATAATTTAAAAAGGAGATAAAATGAGTAATAATATGAAATATTAGCATAAGGGTTATATAACATAATATGCTTTTAACATATCAAACCACCAATAATAGCTCAATAGGATACTTGACTTGGGAGATGGATAGCTCTCCAAATTATAGAGGATCCATTATAGGGATTGGCATCTCTTACCTACCATGATGGAGATGTATCTCCCCCGTCAGGAGACAATGTAGTCATCGGTCACTAGTCCTCTAAGAGACTTACCTATCGATACATGCCTTACAGTCCCTCGGCGGTATAAACCATATCTCATGCAGAAAATATACTCTGACACATAGTTTCAATTGCCTAAATAAACGCATAGAATATATGGATACATAACAGGTAATGCAAAAGTATCGAACTAACTATCATGCATAATTAGAAAGAGTTGAATAACTTCCATGATCAAAATGATAGTTGGCTACGAAATAATCATAAGAGAGAGAGAGAGAGAGAGAGAGAGATAGATTCAACAACACAGTTTATCCACAAGTGCTAATAAGGTTTCCAGTTCACTCCTTATAATAAGATCCACTTCACTTAAAATTTAAACCAAGCATTGATTCTTCTCCATCTTTACCAAGATTTCATGATATGATCTTTCACATTAATTGTAAAGAATTAAACGAAAAAGATAGAAGGATAGAAATTATAGAAAAAACTATGAAATATATGAGATGTAATTGTCTAGTTCATTTAGATAGTGAACTCTTGATAACTATTTATACACATTCAGCATAGAGGATTTTTTTCAATTGCTTAGAGATTTCCTCAACTGCCTTGAGGAAATCTTATATACTTATCATGCCCCCGTAAGATTGAGCTTCCATCAAGAATGCCGATCTTGGATCGATAAAATGAAAATAGTTTGCGGGCGAGAGGCTTTGTTAGTGAGTCTGCTAGTTGATCAGCTGTATGTGCATAAGAAACACAAAGTTGATATCTAACAACTTGATCTCGCACGAAGTGGAAGTCAATGGCAATGTGTTTCATAAGGGAATGAAACACTAGATTGACACATAAGTAGGTAGCTCCAATATTATCACAATATATTGTAAGAATAATCGTGGAGTTGACGTTGAGTTCCTTGAGCAGATTTATGACCCAATTGAGTTCAACAGCGACGGTGGCGATGGCATAGTATTCAGTTTCAGTTATAGATCATGCAACTGTCTTTTATTTTTTAGAACTCCAATTGATTGGAGTACCTCCAAGGAAGATAATGTACCCTGACGTAGATGTTCTATCATCAAAGTTCCCTGCCCAATCAGCATCAGCAAAGGCATGGAGATGGAGTGAAGTATTTTTGTGAAGAAAAATGCTATGATTAAGAGTCCCTTTAAGATACCGCAAAATTCGTTTGACCACAGACCAATGCGTAGTAGATGGTCGATGCATGAATTGCGAAAATTTATTAACGACAAATGAGATATCTGGATGGGTGAGAGCCAAGTACTGTAAGGAGCCAAAGACTTATCGATATTGAGTCGAATCGATAGCAGGACTTCCAACACATAATTTAAGTGATTCAAAGAGAGGAGTTGTAACATCTTTCGCATCCTGTATGTTTGTCTTTGATAATAAATCTTGAATATACTTTCTTTGTGATAGGAAGAGACTTGAAGACGTAAATGTTGCTTCAACTCCCAAAAAGTAGCTTAAAGTACCTAGATCTTTGAGGGAGAATCGATTGGCCAAGTGCTTTAGAAATGCTTGAGTCTTCAAAGGATCATTTCCTGTGACAATAATATCATCCATATATACTAAAAGATATATTGTGCTTCTATTGTGCTGGCAAATGAATAGCGAGATATCATACTTGGAATTGATGAAGCCAATTGAGGTCAAAAATGAGCCAAGCTCGGTATACCAAGCCCTTGGAGCTTGACGAAGTCCATAAATAGCTTTTTGAAGGTTGCAGATATACCTCGGATACGAAGGTTGAACGAAACCAGGAGATTGCTACATAAAGACATCTTCAGTAAGTGACCCATGTAAAAAGGCATTGTTAACATCTAATTATTGTATGTGCCAGCACTTTAAGATGACCAAACTCAGGATAAGACATATTGTTGTGGGTTTAACAACGGGGCTAAATGTCTCTGTGAAGTCGACACCAGGTCATTGATGAAACCCTTTAGCGACTAGACGTGCTTTATATCTGGCAACGGATCCGTTTGGGTTTCGCTTAATTCGAAAGACTCATTTACACCCGATGATATTTTGTGTGTGATGAAAGGATACTAAGATCCATGTAGAGTTATGGAGGAGAGTATTATATTCGTCACACATGGCTTTACGCCAGTTAGAAGATTTTTGAGTTTGAGTGATTGTAGTGGGTTCACTGGCCTCAATGGAGGAACTTGTTATAGCATATAAGTCAAGGACTTGACGTGGTTTAAAAATATCACTTTTAGAGCGTGTTGTCAAGTGGTAGATTGTGTTAGTGGTATAGCCGAAGGTGAGTCACTATCATGGATTGGGCCAACCGTTAGCATGACAATGTCACTAGGTCTAGGAGAAGGTAAAGCTAATAGGGAAAACTTGTGAGGAAGGGAGTGGAGAAATAGAGAGAGTGAGAGTGAGAAGCTGTTGAACTGGAATAATAGTAATATACGGATCTTGAGGGTAAGGACTAGACGGTGTCATTGGAGGTTCGTGTAAGCGAGGTTCTTGTGAGGGCAAGAGGTGGCCGAGCAATCTCTGACTCCGGAACAGGAAGTAACGGCGCTAGAGGAGAGATAAGCAAAAGCACTACCCTTTCTAACTAAACATAAAAGAGGAGTAGTAGAAAACTTCAACAGAACTACCTACATCCGCAAGGAAGAAGGCTCTGATACCATGTAAAGAATTAAACGAAGAAGATAGAAACGAAGAAGATAAAAAGATAAAAATTGTAGAAGAAACTATGAAATGTATGAGATGTAATTGCCTAGTTCATTTAAACAGTAAGCTTTGATAGCTATTTATACACATTCAGTAGGGAGGTTATATACATTCAGCAAGGAGGATTCTTTTCAACTGCTTAGAGATTTCCTCGAGGAAATCTTATCTGCTTATCATTAAGAAGCTTCAGATGCCATCTCATCTCATAATGATATCAAATACCACAAGTTCAGAAATCTTGTCCGACCCAACAAGTTCAGAAATCTAAGGTATTTACTTTATCTAGCATGCATCATATATAAGATCCAAACCATGTACTAAGTTGAAGAGTGATAATAAAAGCATAACATGTTCTTAGCTGGAGTTTGGGTTCGTGCGGGGCTGCCCTCTACATGAGGTAAATAACACTTGCCAACGAGATTAGAATATGGGCTAGACACGAGTGGATCGATATAAGATTAGATTGTGGGATGCCCAAGAGAGGGTAAAACTCGGTAGCTGTGTACTAACCCGAACGAGAATATGGGTGTTGTTCGTTCCATTTGGTAGTAGCCCTAATCATGGTTTGGAACTTTCGATTTTGGTTTTAAAATCCATGGATTCGATGTTGATTTTGGATGGAAATCACTTGTTCCGGTTTTGAATCGAACTATTGATTTTTTTTTTATCAAAAATAATTTAAACATACCAAAAATTATAAATTTATTTCTAAAATTTTAAAAGGAGGGTGTATATATAAAGAAATATAAAAAATAAATAACTTAATTTTTAGTTAATTTAGTTAATTTTTTAAAATTATCTTATTTAGTTAATTTTTTAAAATTATCTT